AAATCAGTCAACTTCCTTGACACAACTATTTACATTAATTCCAACAACAAACTCAAATCAGACGTATACATCAAACCAACTGATAGAACTCTAGACTACTCCTGAATCAAAATTCTCGATCCTACCGCCAAACATGCAAAAACTTTATTATCTACAGCCAAGCACTACGATATATACGCATCACCACTAACAGCAAGAAACTACAACAAAGACTGGACAGCGCACTTATTGCCTTCATTCACAAACATGACAACATTATCACATCACTTAACAAAGCACTAGGCCTACTATACATACAAAATGACATACTCAACAAAACAGAAAATGCAAATAAAGCAACTAACAGACCAATCTTCGCAACTCAATACAATAGTAATACTAAGTAAATGCATTGCACAATGGCCAACCACACAAGCCTGTTGAACATTACAGCTATTAATATAACACACATCCGATCGCTAAACAATAAAACAAACCTCAAGTCCGTTATCTCAGTTCACTACCCCCTCCCCAGGCTCAACCATTTTTTACCCCAAGACTCAAAAAAAGATCTCAAAACACCACTGACACTTCAACACTTTAAATAACACTCTCAACATAAAATAACAAGTTCACAAACACTATTATTACACGAAGTAAACAGATACAACCCAGTATATACAATTTCCAAAATAATCCCTCAACACCCCTACAATCCATAAGACAACAACCTAAACACCCACATGTACTGTTCATCTTACTCACTCACCATGACCAATGCAAACACGCAAATTATACAGCTGCATACAGACGCTCTATATACTAAACGCTATAGTTATACCACATCCCTTCGTGATTATAATCATGGCCCAACGTGTTCGTTTGACAAAAAATATCAGCGAATTTGGTAAGACACTTTATGCTTTATATCTATTTCACAATAATCATACACACATTTTACTATTTTTATGTTCATTCACTCTGTAATCCAAATCGGTTTCTATATTCTATCCTTCTCAGTATACATGTGCCAACCCCAATCCCTGCTGACGATTTCATGAAGGACGAAACGCCGCGTACAGGGATACTGAATTTTACACACATGACTATCTCCTCTCGCTTTATATATTTTACATAATTACATGCCTCCATACAAGCTTTTTAGTACAGCGAGATCATATTCCTCGAGTCTGATCATTTTTTTTTACCGACCACAGGATATTTTACCGTTACAATTTCACACACGCATCTCCAATTTTATGTTCAAAAAATCTACACCTACGCTTATATTTCTTAGGTTCACATTTATACATATACAAGTGGTTTTTTATTTTTATTCTAAGGGGCCATTCACAAAGGATGTCCGAGCCGAGGGGGGGGAGGGGGGTTTGGAAAATCAGGACAAACTCGGACATAGGGGGGGAGGGGGGTTTTTTAGCAATCCGGATGTCCGAAATTTAAAAAAATTCAAAAACAAAATTTTTTTTCCCTCTATTTTGAGCAGTCCTTCCCATTGTGAAATTGGCATTTTGACTATGCGGTTAACACTAGATTTTGTTTTAATTAGTAATTTATATGTTTTTGTGTTCACATTTACAGTTATAAAAAAGTTCTAAAAGTAAAAAAAGATTTTTACTCTTGATATATACAAGGTTGCGTGAGTTTTTGCGAGGCATGGCGGATGTCCGGGGGGAGGGGGTCACTAATTCGGACAATGCCGGACAAGGGGGGGAGGGGGGGTCTGAAAATCCATCATTTGGCCGGACATCCTTTGTGAATGGCCCCTAAGGTTTATCATATACAACATTTTTTCGCAAGCATACATTGTGCAAACAACACGAGGCCATCACACTATCATATTACACACCACATTTTTGATCTAACATTTAGGGACTATTGTGGCATAAATTTATTACTAGGACACCAATATGGTTCTCATTACCTATATCTAAACTTAAAAACATGCATTACTATATTAATTAGTTATTCGAATAATAAAGAGTATAATGATTTGCTGTTATTTGTATATCTAAGTATGCTTTTGCAACGTTTTTACTCGTTGATTTTTCCCAACCGTGGCGTTCAAATAGCATATAATAAGTATATGTCGATATATATAGTGGTCAACCCTTCAAAATAACGTTCTATACAGTGTGCATTGGATACACAAAATATGTCGCCTCCATTTCCAATCACGTGAAAATAGGCAGTGTCACGTGTCTGTTCTGGCTGCCCCTACTCGAAATCGGGGTAGTCAGAACAGTCATGTGACTGTCTTCTGTTCCATCCATTAGTGTTCCGAAAATCCGGAGCACTCCGAACTGTAAATGGAGCAGCTTGTATGTTTCGCCCTTTCCGTCGACCCGCGAATTTTAGGGCGGACGAATACGTAGGTCTGTTTTCAGGCTAGTTTTGAAAAGATGTAGTCAATAATAGTTTTATTATCCGTGGTAAAGGAGGTAACTAACTAGATATAATTATTGTCTCTTACCATCACATTGTACAAACTACTTCTATCCGTTACATTTAAATTTAGCCAGTTCAGATCACCAATTATCACACTTTCATTACCAGAAATTTCAAGATCTCTGTCAATGCGGCGCACAATTGCTGAATTGAAATTTGTGGTGAACGATAAATAGTAACGATTGTTAAATCTGGATGGTTTGTTATCTTAATTATTGTTTGCTCGATGCCGTTGATATTGTGCGAATAAGGATATCCAGGAAGGAATGGCACCTGGTCCCTTGTTGTATATAATAATATATATTGCTGTGCCATATATAATAAGGTCCTACGTTGTTTACACGAGCAGAGTGAGCGTCAAGTGTCATTGCATGCGAAAGATATATATTTTCAAATCCATTAATAGTATATAATTCGTTGGATTCTGTAGGAACAAATCGTGTTTCGGTAAAAACTGCTATATCGCTAGAAAGACAAGAAATGTCTTTACGAACGTCCTCAACAGCCAAGTTTATGAAGAGAACGTGCATTCAAATGGAGTTTCAGACGTGAATTGTCGTCTATTTTATACAGTGGTTTTATACCAAGTTGGAGTGCCCTCTCTGTTCTCAGTTCTTGCATTTCAGTTCGAACTTTTGGATCAACAGCAATTTTGTTTTCACAGAGGACGGTAATGTACAGCCCTTCACTAGTTACTCTGCTCAGTGCAACATAGTGTATGTAAACAAAACAACGTACGTAGAAAAGCTAATTAATTCGCAGATAATTTGCATTTGAATTGCATTGCTCCGGAAAGGTTGCGGGAGTGTGACGTACATAGACGTAATATGGTCCAAGACAAACATTTAAGAAAGCAACTAAGCAATCAAGCAAGCCTCTGACATAGTGGCTATCACAAAAATTCAAAATAAACATTTCTACTCGCTGTATTCAAACGAAACTTTCCACATGAAAGGGCTTGAATACAAGGAGCATTTTACTCAATCGATATACGACCTTTGGCTTTGAGAGAATAACGAAAAGTTTAGAAGATATTCAAGTTTCCGCAAGCAGTATATGGGACGTTTTATGCCATACCTCAGGTAGCAAGCAGTATGGGAAGTTTTATACCATACCTCGCGTATAGCAAGCAGTATATGGGAAGTTTTTTCAAAGCGGCACATATGACATGATCAAACGGATCAGAAAATTTCCGCTTCCATATTCGGTCGTTATCAAATATTCCTCGATAAAACGCGGATCCGGAATTGCGGAAACGGAATTTGGAGATAATTCGCGGAATTTGGGGATAAAACGCGGAAGTCTGCATTCCAGTTAACTCTTTCTCGACAAGTCGCATGTTCGTCTGTACATGTCGCTCGAGGCTAACCGACTTTGCATGTTCATATATTCGGTTCAGTGCACAGTTAAGGGATTAACTTATGTATGGAAAAACTTAAGTGTTTAGTGAAATAAAGTATGGAATAAGTTAAGTATAAAGCTAAGTAAAGTATGAAGTTAAGTGTGGAAAAAGTTGAATATAAAGTTACGTAAAGTATAAACAAGGCCGTCGGAAGTAAATCACTATGGGGGAGGGGGGGGGGGGCTTTTCTAGTTCTTTTGTGTGTTTTGCTTATACAAATGGAAATTATTGCCCCCCCCCGCTTCCGACGTCCTTGTTAAAGTTAATAAGTTATGTATAAGTTATGAAATAAGTTACGTATAGAATAAGTTCCTTAACTTATTCCATACTTACTTTATGGAACGTATTCTACTCTTAAGCCGGCTGCATCCAGTTTAGCGTTTTTCGTTCGTATACAAGTACGCACGAAAAACAGTAATTATATGATTTTATATTATTACTTAGTGTATCTCCTTCGTGTATTTGTTCAGTTATGCTCATAGTATATGTTTTTTTGACCATTTCTCTGTCTTTGAATGTAAATATGTTATGTAAGCTTTAATTTCGATTCCTGCCGAAGGTCCTATAGTTGCAATTATTGCAATTGTTACCATTTTAGGCGATAAATATGTATGTAATTTGTGATTACATAAAAAAAATTCTTAGCTTGTCAACAGGAACTAGACCTGTTGCATCGCGGGAAATTGGGACATGTTTGAGTCTATTATAACCATTGAAATTAATATAACTGGAACGCTACCAACAACCGAAAAATTTGAAGACAAACTTGAAGGCCAGTGCCGGTCTTTTCACGCATGTGAAGAGCGCACACCCAGTCAATCATGGTATAAATACGCACGAGTGTTGGCATTTAAGGCATTCATAACAAACGTATGGGAGTTATCTATGGGGTACCCTGGGTACGAGTCTTTCTAATAGATTTCAAAAACTTCAGAATAGAGTTGCAAGGGTACTGAAATCTGCTAAATCTGCTTCTAATGCGGCTCAATCTGTTATAAATATCTTTGACAAAGGTTTCACTCGATTTAAATAAAACAACTCATGATGCACTCTAAAAAAACTCTGGTTAAAATTTTCTGGTTAAGCTTAGAAATATTATTATAGAATTACACCATTCCGGAAAGTACGCCAGTTTGGCTAGAGAGCCTCCTTTTCGTGTGTGACGTACGAGACCTACCATCTCAATCATGAAAACGAGGTTCTATAGCCAAGGTGACGTGATTTCCGGAAGCGTGTATTCCCCTGCACATACTAGTATTAGTGATACACGGATAAAATCTAAGGATCGTCTTTATACAGCAGTACACCACTGTACTGTTGATAATGTAATACAGTTCAATGTATTTGGTATGTTATATGAAGTTATCTGTTCCACTGACGGATTTTCAACCAAAGTAAGTTTGTCTGCACTATCAACTTTGTCTTCAAGGGTGTCCATATCTTGTTCAATGTCATTTTCCTCTTTCTTGATTGCCATAAAACAACCAAAACTATTGATAATAACAACCATAGCCAAATAGACAAATATTATGGGGAAAAACATGAGATCTTTGTCCCCAACACTGTCTGGTAGATTTTCAATAACAGCAATAGCTATACTTGAATTTCTTGCTGATGAAAGCACTGTAACAGCAAGGATTGATTTCTTAGGTAGCCGTAGTAGAGAAGCAAGTATGAAGGTTAAAACAAGAAATGACGTAATCACAGCTGTACCAAGAGCTGTTACAGCCACAACCATCCAAGGTGAAAATTTTTGAAGGTCTCCTTTCGATGTTGCTTGACTAATTTTCACCCAAAACATAACAAGGAGAGCCCCAGAAGTAACAAACTTCAGAGATGTATATAGTTTGGTAACAACCTTTTTTACCAATCCAATGAATCTTAAAAGTCGTCCAACCTGAAGAAATAATCATACCAATATTGTGATGAAAACCGAATGGAAAAGTGGAGTAATTCTAGATTCAGGCACATAAAAAGAGATTATCCTGCATTGTCCAGCCAAAATATATAATTGTTTTAATTTGGACTAGCCGTAGGCGAGGTCCATGGTAACGTTTAAGTAAGCTTGCTTACAACACATTTAAACAAAGACCTACATTACACAGTTAGCCGGATTTATATTTCTGTAAACATGTTTTTTTCCCATGAAAACCGATAATAATTTACTGATTTTATTAAAATTCGAAAACAGAGGGGTTTTCAGTGGCGGTAATTGGTAAAATAACGTTTTAGCACAAAAAATATATGAATATCTAATTATAATAAATATCTAATTATGAATAATAATGACAAATTCACCTAAATAACATAAACGTAAAATGATTCGCGGAATACATATGCATGCAAACATTTAAAATAGCGATACTTACAATCAAAGGCAAAAGTATAAACAGAATCACGCTGGGTAATATGGTTAGGAAACTAACACTAGCAGCCTGAAATGCTGGTATCAGCCATGAAGTCATAACAGGAACTGTAAAGACTGATATAGTGGTTGCCGTTATTGCAACCAATAATGTCAATGCTCGATTACCATTGGCTGCTGTTACCTGCAAAGAATAGGACATCATTAAACTCGACAAGCACGTTCACTTAATACCACAGGGACCTTTTTATGCTGGGGTAGGTTGCAGGAAAGGCTATCCCTATACCATCAGCACCGGTTTTCACTTTGTTTGCATTTATTTGGAAAAATCAACCTTCTTGACAGGGCTGGCCCATGCATTGAATGGCTTCTTTTTGGAACTCATTTATTAGTTTTCTTACGATATATAAAATCAGCATATTTTGCTGAACAAATTTTGAAATACTAATGATCATTAGTATAAATTTCCAGGTGACTATTGATTTTTCTGCATTCTGATTGGTCAAGATCCACTGTCTCTGAAGTGATAGTCACTGGTCAGTGACTACAGCTTTTTTTTCAAAATGGCTGCTCGTTTTGCCGTAGTAACAGAGGAGGAAATTGCCAAAATTAAAGAAGATAGCATTCCGAAAAACCCCAAACAAGCTACAAAATATGGTTTAAGAATATTTCAAGGTAAAATATTAACCTTTACGTGCTTTTATTTGGAAAAAAACTGGCTTAGTCGCAACGCGACACAGAGCCGTGTCTGAGATTAAAATTTTGTAAACAAACTGTTTATAGCGAAAATAAATTTATTTGAAGTGAATTTTTATAAAGTTGTGTGGATTATTGTTTGTAAACACCTGGAAATTTATACTAAAACAATTAGTCGTCTCAGGCTCGGTGATTACAAGCCTATATTCACTTCGCCTTCGGCTCAGTGAATATAGGCTTCTAATCACCTCGCCTTCGGCGATTAATTGTTAAATAGACAATAGTGAATATTGTTCCAAACTTCCAGAGCTAAATATATGAATCGAAAAACACAACAGCGGTATTTCGACCAGGAAAATGTGGCCAGTGCATCTAAACATAGCCTCCTCCTTGTCACTATAGCATTCAGAATAACACTGTAGTGAAGGAAGAAACGCAGTGTTTGTAACTTTGTATCATAGAAATACGGTTTGTATATACAGTAAATGGTTTATGATAACTAAGATACAATTTTGCTCGAGCCTGAATCTAGCCTGAATCGATATTTTTGTACAACATGAGGCCATGTTCAAGGCAGCAACAGGAGGGATGAGAGACATAATTTAAGCATTCTAACATTAGCGGGGGGATCTACTTGAGAGAGGCTGACTTAATTATCCGCCTAAATTTGTTGGTACCAAACGTGGTTTTGGTCCCAATTGGTGCAAATCCACATTGCAAGCTCATCTTGGCAAACCTGGTACTGGTTAATGGCCTTTACCCATTACGGTTATGGGATCGATATCATAATCCAGTTTTTCTTCACCAGAAGTTGTGACCATATTAGAGAGCAGCTACAACTACGACTACGCGATTGGTTTATTTGGATACGCCATATTCTTACGCCATTATGTACTGACGCCTCATAAATCTCGTAGCCGTGACCAAATTGACAACGAGATTTTTGAAAAGTCTCGATTGGAAGTGAAACAAGCATCTACTACGAGATTGTGGCGTCACGTGCGCACGTAATGGCGGAATTAAGATGACGAACATGTACAAACAACGAAACTCGTAGTTGAAGTCGTAGTTGAAGTCGTACTCGTAGCTCTCTATTATATATTGTGTACTCACCAATTCTCATCTTTGTTAATCCAGGCAGCCTCGTACCCAGGCGCAAACAACTCAAAATAGGCACACTACCGTGTTTTTATATAGATCAGTAGCTAGGATGAGCGCGCGCGCGGAGGTGCTTGGGGAGGACGCGGGAAACGAAGCTAGAGAACCCCGTCGAGTCCTCCCCAAGCACCCCCGCGCGCTTGGGAGTGCCTATTTTAGTTATTTGCGCCTGGGTACGAGGCTGTAATCCAGGCATAATACAAAACATGGACAGGTGCAAAATTCGACTGAATGCCGAAAATCTTAAAACTGGACATGATTGGAAAATAAAATTTCTCCAATAATGTGATCCACGAGTAAGAAATAACAGACAATTTAATTAAACAACTCGAGCCAGCACGACGGCATCAACTGAATGAGCTTCTATATGTGCATGGCCCTTGGCCTTGTGAACATTTTTTATTAAATTTAATATTTTACAAAAAATAAACTAAAATATTTTACAACCGCTTTTCAGTTTTGGATATATAGTTCTGCAATAATTTTGCATGCTTCCCCCAGAATGTAAAGTTAATATGTATCACTTACTCAGAATGAAACTTATGTACACAGCCAGAAACGCGCAAGTTGCAGCAGGTCTGCTGCAGACTTGATCAGTTCAACTTGCGATCATCAAGCTGATCAGTATCAGGATGCGTTCGCATCGCTTGCTCCGGCCATAGGCAGCCCACTAAACGACTGAATTTAAATTAAAACTGCAGTGAAAATATTAAAATTAACGAAAATAATCACAAATTAGCGAAATGTATATTCCTAAGTGTAGCTTATATTAAATCGCCACCCGACTGCACTATTGTTTTTAGGGCTATTTTCTTTCTGCTTTTTAAAATATATATCTTGCATGTGTGTAGTTCAAACACCTTGCCAACCTTAGGCTTAGGTATACTATATAACTATACGTCAGTTGGTCGATGGTGCAGTCGGGTGGCGATTTAATATAAGCTACACTTAGCAATATATTCAGTCGCTAATTTGTGATTATTTTCGTCAATTTTAATATTTTCACTGCAGTTTTAATTTAAATTCAGTCGTTTAGTGGGCTGCCTATGAGGAAACTGCTTTTCACGGCCGAATTTTCATAGCTAAATAATAAACAAAGTCTGTGAACAAGTCAAATAAAATGTTATCAACTTGCAGCCAGTCTGCAAATGTCAAGTTGCAACAAGCCTGATTTCAATAGACTTGCTGCAAGTTGTTTTATCAGACTTGTCAAGACTTGTTATCCACAAGCTTGCCGCAAATTGTTTGAACAACTTGCAGCAAGCCTGCGGATAACAACTTGCAGCAACCCTGATTTTCTCAACTTGCATCAACATTGATGCGTTCATCAGACTTGCTGCAAGTTATTCCATCAGACTTGTCCAAACTTGATATCCACAGAATTGATGCAAGTTGATGAAACAACTTGCATCAAGTCTGCAAATGACAACTTGCAGAAAGCCTGATTTTCTCAACTTGCATCAGCATTGATGCGTTCATCAGACTTGCTGCAAGTTGTTCTATTAGGCTTGCTGCAAGTTGATATTTGCAGACTTGATGCAACTTGTTTCATCAACTTGCATCAAGTCTGCAAATGTCAACTTGCAGCAAGCCTGATTTCAACAGGCTGCTGCAAGTTGATGACGTCAACAAGCATGCTGCAACTTGTTGACAACTTGCAGTAAGTCGGTAAAATCCGCAACTTGCAGCACTAAAGTCTGTGGCATTTCTGGCTGTGTACATCAATGATGATGAAACAATATGTACATCAATCATGATGATGTCATCATCAGATAATCTGATTATTTTTCTAATTCAGGCTCGCTAGCTAAGACAAGGATGCTTAGTTCAGTAAAAGAAAAACAGTTGTTGTTTATTTGCAATTGGTGATTATTAATTGGCAAAGACCAGGCCCTGAAAACGTTTTAGAGAATGCGTCTTTTGAGCAAATTGGAAAGCAAACAACTAAAATGGCCGCTAAACTATTATAAAAGGTGCAATTTACACGCGGGCAATTTACACGCGGGCAATTTACACGCGGGAATTGAAGCACACAACTTTACATCCACTCTGTTCATTCTGTCATGTAACTGCAAATTGCAACGTTGCGCATATTGTCTTGTTAAATATGTTTGCTTCAAATTGCAGATTTGTTTTAGTAACAGTAAAAAAACTAAGTACGGTACAGTTACTGGAAATCACGGTGTGATTTTACGGCAATTTTTACAGCGTGCGTGGGGCTGCGGGACCAAAATTTAAACATGACTTTCACGCCAAATGCGTGACACTTGGCAGGTCTGCTTTGTACGCAAAGATTCTTTTAGTACAGTTTCGCGGCGTTTATAGAAATTTCAGTCGAAATTTGAATATTGAGTCCACAGTGCATGCATGAGTCCATGCGTCGATGAGTCTACAAGTGCAGTCCATGTTTTGTACTATGCCACAAGTACGTTTAGGAAATAACTCACATTCTTGTAGTATCTCTCATTAAACTTGTTAGCATAATCAGACGTATCTGTCACCCACCATAAAGCAGATAATAGACTGTAAAATTATTGAACTCTACTTACTCAATATAAGTAGAGTTCAATATAAGTAGAGTTGCATGGCCATGGCAACTGAAGTGAAGCTGGCACGACATTTATCACGACATTCATCACGGCATTAAATTCGCACCGAAATTTTTTCAGGAGATTAAATTAAAAGAGTTAACTAAACAGATAACGACCACATGTGGCGAGTTCGCTATTTCCCATCATCTCGCTATTTCCCTCGAAGGTGTATAATGATCAAAATATGAAATTAAACAATAACCTTCTGAACGGCGGGGGGTTACGAATGTCGTGATGGCAATATGCCAAGTCTTAGTTAGTCGAAGTTGTGACTAGCTGTTGTTAAAAGCGTTTTAAAATTGCAAAAAATTCAACTCATTTATGTTGTTTCCATTGTCATAGTAGAAACAGCATGAGTAGTATATATTAACTGTAGATGTTTGAATTTATTGATGATTTAGTTTGAATGATGCGACTGAAAGAACATTTAAATTAATTGACTTATTTAGTTACTATGGCTTACAGCATTGGGGGTTTGAAAACAACTTTACTACCCAACTGTCTAAATTGCTCAAGACGTTCGGTAGTATTAATATTGCTGCAAAGATCAAAATGTAAATAATTTTCCACATGCTAATTACCTATTTTTAAGTCTAATTACCTATTTTTAAGTTCAACTCTTTTAAATGATGGGAAATAGCGAGCTCACCACATTTCTGATCTCTTTTAATCTCGTGAAAAATGTCGATGCGAATATCGTGATGAATGTCGTGACAAATGTCGTGACGAATGTCGTGACGAATGTCGTGACGAATGTCGTGACGAATGTCGTGACCGCTTCACTCCAGTGTTGTAGCACCGTGGGGGAATGCTGTACCAAAATGGTTAATTATGGATTATGTATCTACTATGTAAAAGGAGGAACGGTTGAATTGTGTTTGATTGTTTTCAGAACCAGCAGAAGAGTGAACTCCGCGAGTTCTCGACACTAATGCTTCTTAATCCACAGAAAGGTTCTTTTATGCGGAATTTTACTGTATCTCAATAAAAATACACTCACCACCACAGTAGGAAATGCTGATGCACATGGAGAAACGCAAAATATCTGTAAACCAATACGAAATTCCTCCGGACCAAAATCTGGTAATTCAATTGTCCAGCTACTGTTCAATGTACCCTTTTCTACATCCAAACCTGACCTGGGAACCTCTCGAAACTTTGGTAACATCAGTAACTTCGTTCCAACAACTGGGGTGAGCAATAGAACAACGATTATTCCCAAGGCAGTCTCTCTATAACAACGTAGGGCAGATTGAATCTCTGTTAAACGAAATTTCGTTCCAATAACAAAAAATAATGTTACAATACACATCTGGACTACAGGTAGTTTTCCATTAAGGTAGACTGCAGGAGCAGGTAAAAGAATTCCAAGAGGGATGATAAATAGTGTTCCAATAGGGAGGAAATGTTTGGAAACAAATGCCGCAATCACCTTACCCTTGCACATTTTGATATCTGGTTTATATCGATCAAGGATACCTTCTTTGTATACTTTCCCTCTGGCACTGTCGTGCTTTAAAAGCAATCGCAAATCTGATTAATTAAGAGCTCTCAAAGCCAGTGTTGCCAGTTATCTTGCATTGTCACCGCGGCTGAGTTTGTAGGAAATCTGCGGTTTTAAACACAAAAAGTAATAGTTCAATTCATTCACGAAAATGATTGCTTTTCTTTTGGCTCATTATGCGTCACCGCCGTCACGTACGTAGCAAGCAGCATATGGGAAGTTTTTTAACAGGAGCCATATGGGCATACTTCGAAACCCGGACCGGACTCGGACTCGAAAAAAATCCGGACTCGAGAAAAACCCGGACTCGAAAAAAATCCGGACTCGTCTTTGAGAAAACCCGGACTTGACATTTGATAACCGGAGAAAAATACATAAGTTGTTATTATTGTACAAAATGCCGGTTAAAGGTTTAGCTCCAAGTTATTTGTCGGATCTCTGTCTTACGTAAGCCAAAGAACTACATGGAACTACATATAGGCTTCGGGCTAGGAACGATTTAAGTTTACCTTTCATTCGCACCGAGAAAGCAAAAAAATCCTTTTTGTATTCTACAATTTTTTATGGAATAATCTTTCTGAATCCACGAGAGAATCTGCAACATTTGTTCTTTTTAAAACTGCTTTATTATGTTAACGATTTTACAGTATACCTCCTGTCAATATAGATTGGTTTATTTGGGTGACCGGTATTTTCGGCCTTACACACAAGATTAAGACTAAACAATTGTGACCTTAATCATTATCTTTTTTCAATGAACTGTGTTCTATCTCATCTTGTACCTGTGGTACACTTAGTGAAGATGTAACTCGTTATTTATTATGTTGTCCTCGCTTTGCTGCTGTGCGTGCTTCAATGCTTACCTCTGTCATGTGCCTTGCCGGAAATGTATGGAACGTTTTGAATATCTCTCAACAAGTGGGCATTCTATTACATGGTTCAAGAAATCTAAGTTTTGAAGTAAATGCGGCAATTTCTCTGAAGTACAATGCTATATTGGTAGTTCTGCACGTTTCGCATAGGATGTTTATGCAATTGCCAAGCGATCTTTTTTGTCTGTACTTGTGGTGGTAATTGTAATGTAATATTGTAATTTATGTAAGCATGAACCCCCTGGATGAGCTCTAAGCTCTTGGGGTATAAAATGTATCTATATAATGTTTAAATAAAACCGGGACTCGAAATAGAAAAAAACGGATTCGAAACAAGGCCTCGAATGGAAAGGTTTTTGCAAAGGATTGACAATAGTTATTAACACGATAAACGATTGTATCTTTAATCTTCATCTCTATATTTTCTTCTAGTGTTAATTAAAAGAACAATCACTTACGAACTTTTCATGCGCCGAATCTAATGCAAGGATTAAGTGCGACGTTGGAGCGGCGACTAAATCAATTAAGTTCGGCAGGTTTTGATTAAGTTCGACACGACTCGAAGATGCGACAGGACAAGTCGTATATGCGACACAGGTTCGACATTGATTTAGACGCCGTGCTTTTCATGCGCCGAACCTACTGCATAATTATTTTTTACAGTCAATTTCAGCTGACTTTTCATCGTAAGATTCCGAACTTCGTTCCGAACTTCGCAAATTCGTTGCCAAGTTCAAAAGTTCATAATGAAATTCACAAACAGGTTTGTAAACAAAGCCTCTGGTTGGCTATTAAATCAAACCAGCCAATCAAATGCCCAGTTTACAAACCTGTTTGTGAATTTCATTATGAACTTTTGAACTTGGCAACGAATTTGCGAAGTTCGGAACGAAGTTCGGAACTTTACGATGAAAAGTCAGCTGAAATTGACTGTAACATCATAATATGATTATCATATATTTGCATTGTAAATATTTCCAATATAATGTCTTCGCAATTTGGTACGGTGCAATTAAGTTCGACGTCTAAATCAGTTTCCGATATTTTGCCGTATCTACGACAATAGATTCGGCGCATGAGAAGTTCGCCGTCTAAACCGGGCCTAAGCACTTCACTAAAAACTAAAATGTATTACTTCTATGGGTAGTATCTATACCGATACGAAGGTAGCATGCTGGTTCTCAATATAACTTGATTTATTGTCGAACTTCATTGGTCCTAGCTACTCGTAGAATTAAGTACGCAAATACATTTTAGTTTTTAATTAATTAAGTGCCTAAGTGGTTTAGTTCCAGTATACCTAAGTGATTATTCTTTTAATTAACACTAGAAGAAAATATAGAGATAAAGAGACCATCGTTTATCATATTAATAACTATTGTTAAACCTTCGCCAAAAACCTTTCCATTCTCGTACACTGCAGACTACACAGAGTCCTTGTTTCGAATCCGGTTTTTTGTATTTCGAGTCCGGGTTTTCGAAAGTCAAGTCCGCGGGTTTTCTCAAAGACGAGTCAGTCCGGGTCCGGTCCGAGTTTCGAAGCATGCCGCATCTATGGACATGATCAAATAGATCAGAAAACGTATTTCCGTTTCTAGATTCGGTCGGAAATTGCGGCCCGAAATTGACACCTAAAGCCATGTTTACATTTGCAATATCAGAGTCAATGATATGAGCTACAGACTTATTTTGAAGTATAACAATCAGCAAAGAAGTAAGCCAATGAGATTTCGAGAAAAATTGGCGCATTAAATGTTTTTTAAATGTTGATATATAACAGTAGCGATTGATACACCGAGTGGAAAGCGTAATTTAAAAATGAAAATTAAAGCCCAGCAAATGACTTTCAGACAAGACATAACAAAAATATAAAATTTATTGGCTAATGTTTCGTTGTATTATTCACAACATCTTCTTAACTTACTTACAAGCGTGTATTATATATATACAAATTTTAAACGGTTACATTATTCAAATAAGCGAATAAGAGGAAGGGATGAAAAACAACCTATCATTAAAATTATTAGTAAATTAAAGATATAATGGTTAGTAATTAGAGAACTAGCAAAGCATTAGAATAGGTCAAGAGGAGTTGACCTGATGTTGGCATTTAAAATAGGATTAAGCTTGGATATGAAAAGGCTTTCGTGAATGAGTAAATCCGCTTCAGAAGTAGCAGTGGAAAGGATTTTAAAATCAGAGGGTGAAATTTGATGTTTAGTGGTATGGATATGAGCGAGTGAGTATGCCTGACATTGTTGAAACAGAACGTTTCTTTCCAGTCAAGGGTGAAACACCCATGTATCGCGTATCTCTGAACACATTGATTTGTTTCATATTTCCATTCCGGAAACGTTGCATGAAAATCAAATGCAACACATTAATTTCTGGAATGCTGTTTCGAAAATTTCGGACAATCTATATATTGTTTCACGGCAGGAGCATTTTATATATAGGTCAGTGGGCAGGAGTCTATATTATTATGGCGTGTACGAATTCGTCACGCGAAAAACGCGTTCGGATTGTGCACGCATAAGATGGATTTGTTAAGTGTGCAACTAAGTATATGGTCCTACAATTAGAATTGTAAATATTTTAATCTGGAATAACCGTTTTAGCGCAAATTACCGGTATATCAATGACCTGTTTATGCATGCATATATTATTTTCTGATCATGTTCTAGTCTATAAACTAGTGCTTGGCGGCCATTTACTTTTTAGAGTTGTCGATTGACTTGCTATTCGTAGATTCATGTATCCGTAGCGGACCTATTTTTTCGAATTATGTCCAATCATGTAAAATCGCCTGGGAGCGAGGTTGGTAAAATTGCTCACATCCGTGTTGTTTGATGTCAATCTTGAAAACTATTCACAAAATTAATCTAGTGTAGGAATAATTGGAGACTTTTGATAAGAGATTGTAAAGCCTTCCACATAATTAACGACATCACACGGTGCTGGGTAAAATTGGAGGGCCTTGAAGGATAGTGATGTTGTGAGAGCCTTGGACCATGGTGATGGAGTGGGAGACTTGGGGGTGATGGTTGGAGCCAGCATTGTGATAATGGGGGAGCCAGGGGCGTAGCACGACCTTTTTAACTGGGGGGTGTAACATCTAAGTTTTACCATAGTTAATATATATTAACTATGGTTTTACCAACCCACGCGCCACGAGGCGCCACCATGGTTGGCGCCGAGCGGAAAGTTTTTGAAAATATGGAGTCTCTAGATCGTTGGAAATGGCATTTTCAGAGCCTTCTGTACTTTATACACACAAGGTTTGGTAGCTTTTATTTATATCAAACAAAACCATATTGTTGAAGTTGTGTTATTTTCGAAATCCGTGAGAATCCGTCAGATATTAACAAGCGTGAGAATCCGTCAGATATTAACAATAGGCCGTATTCTGTGGCACGAAAAGTCGCTTAGAAAACGAATTCCGTTGCCCGGGTTCGGGCACTACTTTGAAACAAGATAAATAATTAGGATAAATTATACAAAGTCCAAATCCGCTTGTTTGCACTTCCCAAAACCTGCAGTTTTCGAGTATTTCTTCTTCGAAAATTGAAGAAATCGACATCTTTCGCAATCGATCGCCGCCATTTTTGTTCAGGATGCTTGGTGTAATAAACACTCTAAATGCCGATTTTCGCGGGCTCATGCTCATTCTTACATGAAGTTTCCAGCTTAGCATTTGTAAACATGGCGTCTTCTGATTCATGTTTAATTCATTTTGATGGGAAAAAAGGCCCACTTACAAGTTTTAGTGTGGTTTCGTATAAAAAATTTTTAGATTGTCGTAGAATTTGGCTAACGCTAGACGGGGAAGAACGCAAAGTTGCTCAAAGAAGTTTGCGGTTTGTTAGCGACAGCATGGAAGTAGCACGGTCGAAAATATCGATGCAAATTTCTCTTTATATTATCGAAGTTGTTACTCGGCATTCACAAATAGCAGTATGATCAACCGAGCTCAAGAGCGTTGTCAGAATATGGACAAAGAAGGTGTACCTTCATCCTCTGGTCTCCATTTATTGAGGAAGAAACGGAATCAGATGAAACTCCACCTGTAAAGAAAATGCTGAGATCTACACACGTAAAAATCGCACAACTTGTCAACAAGATGTGTTCGCAACAGACTTGTAGCAAGCTCGTCAAAAAGTTGTAAAAGTTCTGTTATTTTATCAAGTTGCTACAAGCTTGTCACTCACAACTTGTTGACAAATTGTTCTATTGCTGTTGGAACAACTTGTAACAAGTTTGTTGAGTTTGACAACCTTGTAGCAAGTTGTCAACAAGGTGTTGACAACCTGTCAACAAACTGGGAACAAGCAGTGCGAACACATCCTGTTGACAAGTTGTTGTAGCAGCATTGCTACAAATCTCCTGCAGGTTTGTTACAACTTGTGCATTTTTACATGTATACGCTGAGTTCACCTGCACATGTAAAAATGCACAGCTTGTAACAAGTCTGCAAACAAGTTGTTACAAGTCTGTTCACAAGCTGTCAACAAGTTGTCTTCACACTGCTTGTTCCCAGTTTGTTGTAACAAGTTTGAAACAAGCTGTTAACAATTTGTAACAAGCTTGATGGCATTATCAGTCTTGTTACAAGACAATGCTAACAA